CTGTTTCATTCCTTTCAATTCTCGTTGGGGAATATTCAACTGTGTAGTGAAGAGAACAATTTTAAGTGCATATATTGCCTTTGCCATCCACCTTGCTTGATGCAGAGCCCCTGGGACCCTGAAACTGAAGTCGTTTTTGGACCAACCCCCTAGGTACAGAAGTGAGAGTTGTAATAACTCTTTGTAGTCTTCTCTTGGATGACTTCCGTCTTTTAGGACATTTTGTATGTAATTAACCATTTTCACTCGTTGTTCCTCTAGAAAGCCTTGAACGGGACTTTCTTCATCCAGCATTGTCGTATATGACTTCTTATCAAGTGAAGCCCACAAAGTTTTAAACTTTTGAAAAATTTGGATTTCCGGACCACTTGATGGTACGCTACAACACTCCTCAAACACTCCTTTTATTATTAGTTCATGGGTATGATGACGGCAAGCCAACCACAACAATGTTCGTCCGAATTCCCTTTCAATTCTGGTACATGCCCCTTGGATCAGTCCTGTATTAGATGCTGTAGTATCAAAAGATATACCGATGATATTGTCACGTAGCCCAAATCGGTCCACTTCCCGAATAACTACTTCAGCCATCTGCTCACCAGTGCCTTTCAGGGCAACAGGTACGCCAAGCAAATGCTCAAAATCTTTGCCACTCACTAGAACTGCAACTCTATCTTCCAAAGTTTTGACACTTCTATGGGCAACTGAGGGCAACAGTTTACTATCCCAATGCAAGACCAAATAAGGGGGATTTTCAAAGAGTGACTCTTCGATTTTCTTTGCCATTTTTCTTCTATTGATTGTTCGAGCTCGATAAACGGTAGATGGAGAGACGGAAATTTTTGAAACATCGTGGCCAAGGCTCTTTGCAGTTGCTATAAATGAAGTACTTGCTTGTTTAATAGAGAGCTGTTCTCGATCCCAAGTGGACGTAAGTGTCTGATCAAGAGGTTTTAATCTAGGAATTGAACGTAATTTTTTTTTGCTGGAGGTGAAAACTCGGCCTCTTCGTCACTTGGTGCTGATGATGATGAAGATAAATCTTTCATTATTACTGTTTTATTAATTTCAGTGATAGCTTTGTAATGTTTATTCTTATATGATTCTTTTTTTTCTTCTTTTCTACACTTAGTACTTAATTTCGAGGCGAAAACCTTGTCTACTCCACCCATTGACGAACTCATGCGATCTTCTCTTTGTGACCTAAGAAATTCTTTATCTTCTTGTGATACGCTAGACATTTCCATCACATTTTTCCGGGAAATGTCAAATAACTCGACGAGGTCACCTTTCCAAATCTGCCTTCTCACATTTGCTTTATCCGTGTTTCTTGATTTCTCTTTACCCATATTTCTGTATTCTTTGTACAGTTTCTGTATACCAGCACGGATATTCTCCTCCGTCTTAACAGGAATATTTGCTTTCCTCCATACTTCCTGTAGTTTAGTACTGGTAGATTTAGCAGCACCCGAAAGTGTTTCTTTCATTTCCTTGTGATGGTAAATAAAAACTAAAAGTACTTGTTCCTTTGAAGGGAGCCGCGCTCCTAAAAACTCATCACTAGGCAACTTTTCTAGCAGCCAAATTCCTCTTTTGGTTCCCATTTTAAAGTTTAATTTCGGTTCTATAACTGAGGTTGTCAATTGTTGTAAGGGAATTTAAACCAATTTAGGTATACCTATTTATAAATGCAGAGATTAATATGGATTAATGTAATTACAATAACAATTATTATTTTACCTTACAAATAAAATGAAATGTTGTATTTTACCTTACAAATTAAATGATCTTAAATTAAATAACCTTGCAAATAAAATAAAACTGGTTCAAACAAATTCCTTTCCAACAAAATTCCGGATACCTAAATTTCACTAGTATGAGATAAAAGTTTTCAATGTGTGCCACCCCTAAATATTATCCAATCTTCTTAAAATTTGGCATATATATCTTTTTCATCACTGAGACTCGGGGCGTAAGCAAAGTCGTATGAAAATCACATCTTTGGAAAAATGAAACACCCTAACGAATATACTCCAAAATAATTGGAATAAGTAATATTGTATATGCATTTAGGGTCACAGCCATAAATCAAAGCCAAAGAAGATAATAAGAACTCAATAGCCAAGGCATGCCATATGGTCGCATTCCATTACATACACTACAGGGCCAGCTTTATCTATTTTGTATATTGGTATTTACATAAGGTGATTAATTAATTAATTAATAAATTTTATTGATTGATTGATTGTGATATAATGGTGTTGGTATTGGTATTGATGGTAATATTATTGGTATTAATGTTGATATTGATATTGGTATTATAGATATTGATATTAGTATTAATATTGATTGAATAATTGGTTGATATTGATATTAACGTTAATATTGATTAATTGATTGATTGGTTGATATTGGTATTGATTATTTGTATTATTTGGTATTAGTATTGGTATTGACTAATTGATATTTATATTGAATTTATATAGATACCAATTTAACAATGAAACCGGGCAACAATTGATCATTGCCGAAAGCAGCGTGTGTGTGTGAAAGGAAATCAAGAGGGAACGTCACAATTTTATATTATTGTATTATATATATTATATAATATACACATAAACTAACAGCCCAGCCACAAAGCAAAGCTTAAAAGATAACGAAAGTAAATAAACAAAACGCCCACGCAAAAATAATGTAAATAAACCATCTATTAAAGCATACGTTACACGCCTGACATTAAGACCGTACTTCAAATTTTAATACGATACACCACAGGGCCGGCTTTATCTATTTTGTATATTAATTTATTTTTAAGTTAAATTTGGAATAAAGTAAGATGCAAAGATACAATAAATAATAAACGGTATAATCACTAATTTAACAACAAAATAAATAGTTCACCAACAAGGACAGGCTCTAGCAGCGTACTAACACCCCGGCTCAAAATACAAGAACAGCACAGAAGATAAGAAGAACGATCATATCAACAGTCAATGCAGACCATATGGTGGCATTCCACCACATAAACTACAGGGCCGGTTTTATCTATTTTGTATATTAATATTTATATTTTTAAATTAAATTTAGAAAAAAAAGTAAGAATGCAAAGACATAAATTAAATGAAAACGGTATAAACACTAATTTAGCAATAAAATAAATAAAGAATATACAAGGTTGGTAGCCAGAGTAAGCAAAGAACTAACATACCCACCCCCATTCACGAATACCAATTGAATGGGGATACTACTAAGGCCTAGGTTGAGGAGGATTCCGGATTGTACTTAGTTTTGGGTCAGTTCAATGTCCTCCAAAAACCCTTCCTAAACTGGACGTATGGCCCGACCCGGCTGACAAAAATCCGGGAGCGGCCTGAACCTTTGACACTGTCATCCACGACCTTCTAGGGTGGAACTACCAGCCGGCGTAAAAACTTCGGATCCAACAAACACAGGTAATGCTGTGATTTGGCGGGATACGCAGGAAAACGGAAAGGGGGTAAAATAACCCCGGGAGATCAGTGGATGATAATATATCTGGGGCCTGCCATACGTTCCCATACTCATACTCATACTCAGTAAAATAAATGAAAAAAAAAGATTTATAAATTAGATCGTAAATTTCGAGATTGATTTAAAATCACTAAGATTTTAAAAAATGATCGTTATGAAGTTATTAAACCTAACTATAAGGGTAAAAGTAGTGTTTTTAAATTTGCGCATGATCAGTTTATTAATGTAGGTACCTGAAGGGCAAGGTTAAGTCTTAAGTAAGTCAGAATCTAAAAATGAAATGGCTGTGTCGGCGAGTATTACAATAGAGAAATAGGTAATATCCTGCTAAAGGGAATCCACATTCCTGACAAACTGAGTAATAATGCTTTCTTTAAATTTTTTAATTAATTAATAGCAGTTATCTGATTGAAAATTGCAGTAGCTGACTAGTAAAAGAGTTACTAGAAGAGGCATGTGGCCTAGTTTAGTTGACTAGTAAAAGAGTTACTAGTAGAGGCATGTGGCCTAGTTTAGTTAACTAGTAAAAGAGTTACTAGAAGAGGCATGTGGCCTAGTTTAGTTGACTAGTAACAGAGTTACTAGAAGACACATGTGGCCTAGTTTAGTTGACTAGTAAAATAGTTACTAGAAGTGGCATGTGGCCTAGTTTAGTTGACTAATAACAGAGTTACTAGAAGAGGCATGTGGCCTAGTTTAGTTGACTAGTAACAGAGTTACTAGAAGAGGCATGTGGCCTAGTTTAGTTGACTAGTAAAAGGTTTTACTAGGAGTGGCCTAGTTTGGTTGCTTAGTAAGAAGAGTCTTACTGTGTTGTTAGGGGTACGCCCCCTAGTTTTTAAGGGAACCGCCAACATAAAAACTTGGTGAACGGAACGGACCCGGCAGATAATCTTGACTTGTCTTGAGAAAAGTTGAATCTCTGAATTGATTTTTGATTGACTATTGTTGGTCTAGCGGGTCGCGGATTGTTGCCGACTAAATTTATATTAACAAATCAAAAAATCTACATACTCAAACTAACCTGTGGCGCAAACAACAGGTATAACCGGGCGTTCGCGGATAAAGTAAAGCATGCGTTTGCGGGTATGGGCGGATAAGAGTTTCACCCGCAATCACCCGGTTTTGACGCATATTTCAATCGGAATTTACGCCCGCAATCACCCGGCTTTTTCAGCAGGGTAAAAACATTTTAATTTGAATATTAAGTTTGTGTTATTTTTGTTTATTTTGGGCCTTTAAAATTTAAAATGTAATATTTATACTTTAAATATTAAATGTTTATTTTAACAAAAAAATTGTGGAATGTCCCTGATGCTACTGGTAGAAGAAAAAACATAATTATAATAGTAATGTTTACTTAAATAAAAATATTTGCATGAAAAGATTGATAATATATCAGCAATTAAAAGGGCGTCTGGGGCGCTCTGAGAAGAATGGCAGGGAAGGGCGATCCCCCCTGGCCTCCCATACGGCACGCTACTGCTTACCTTATAAATGGTTTCTTCGAAGGTGTTGGGTGTTTCTCCATTTAGTTGCAGATTCCGAAGTCTGTCATAATCGCATGGATCGACCATGGATCGTAATACGTGTTGTCCATGATCATTTACCTCCAGACCACTCTGTAATACGCTATCCGGTGTGTCGACCTGAAATAAGTACTTAACTCAATTATTGAAAAAAAAAAAGTATATTTCTTTCAGAAATTTCTTTTGGGAGTAACTTTCGAACTTTCCGTTTCCGGTGGGCTTAGTTTGTTTTATTTAATTACTAGGAATATAATATTAAGCATTTTATTGTTTCGACCTTTACTTGATGAAACTCCATGTCACTAATATATAACTGGATAAAAATCAAACACTGGTTTTGAGTTTCACGAATTTATTTAAATTTTATTTGACAATTGTTTCGCTAACACAGTAGCTTCTTCAGAAAAATGAAGAAGCTACTGTGTTAGCGAAACAATTGTCAAATAAAATTTAAATAAATTCGTGAAACTCAAAACCAGTGTTTGATTTTTATCCAGTTATATATTAATAATATTAAGTTTCTTCATTTTAAACTTTTAGTTACAAACTATATAAAGACCAATTAAACTTGCAAATTTAAATTTAGCTACTTACCCTTTGAGGAACTTCTCTTACAGTTCGATTTTTTTCTTTTCGATGGGAAGTCTTAAAGCTTTGCAGAATTCTTGAGAATGTCGTTTTTCGTTTTCCAGTGTTCATGCAGTTTCGTTCTATAATTTTTTTTTGTTAGAAATATTAAGATAAATGTGGCAACAATGCATTAATATTTGGGTATTACCAAAAGTTTAGTTTTGGTATTTTGTATTGGTTATATGGGTGATTTTTATTGTGCCATTTTTTAAATTTTGCCTTAGTTGCATCAATTTAAAGATTTGTGGTAAATGACATTATTAAGGCAAACATAATAAATTGAACAGCAAAGTATGTAATTAGTAGTTTTCATGGTTTGATATTTGCAGGCTTGCCATACGTCGGTTTTTGTTCCGTTTTTTTTTTTAATTTAGAATCCAAAATTAAATCTTGTATTAATAACTTTAGTTTAACTAGCAAATGTACCAAATGTAATGCAAAATAATGATTTATTTAATGAAGTAGGGATGGATATAAAATTAATGATATTTTTGATAAAAGCAAAAATGCTTATAAATTAAATAGGTGTGTCCGTTATTAAAAAACAATTGAGACCCTAGCTATTTGCATAGATTGCAAAAAGAAACTGACATGCAAATTTTATAAACTTCATTTCAAATCATTTATAATCAAGTTTTAATCCGCAAACAGTTGCTTTTATCCGCAAACACCTGCTTTTATTCGCAAACACCTGCTTTCCTCCGGTTTCACCTGGACACATCTGCTTTCATCCGCGAATGTCTGCATTCATACATAGACATCTACTTTAATCCGCAAAAGTCTGCTTCATCCGATTTTACCTGCAAACATCTGCCTTTATAAAATAGATGTTTGCGGATGAACCACATAAAAAATTGACGAAGAAAATGCAGGTGATCTCGGATAAAACCAGACGTTTGCAGATGAACCCTAACATATGCAGATATAAACGATACGCAGTAGAGCTGGTCAAAAGCAGATAATTACGGATGATTGCGGGGGTGCACTAACCGCATTTTGCGGTGAAACCGTATAAAAGAAGGCGTTCGCGGGTAAAATCAGACGTTTGCGGATAGATAGATAGAAATTTATTTGTCACTAAATAGTTACAAAATCGTCAGGTACAAAGTGTAATATATAAATGAATACAGAAAAATATAAAATACAAACAAACGCATATAAATTAAACATAAATAAAATGTATGTATGAGTACACCATGTAAACAGTGGACATAAAAGTAAAAGTTTATAATCGCAGACTTTCCAGGTACTCATCAATTGTATAGATAGAATTTGCTGACAGGAGGCTCTGTATGGATTTTTTAAAAGTATTTGGGTTCAGTTTTTTTAATTCTGCTGGTAATAGATTGTACAATATTGGACCCCAGTAAGCTATTCCTTGTTTTGTCATTTCAAACCTGTGGTGGGGAATAGTTAAATTGACCTTATTTCTGGTATTATAGTTGTGATAGACTTCATTTTTAGTAAAGTTATTTTTGTTGTTGTGCACAAACAGAAGGCAGGTAAGTATAAATATGGATGGCAAGGTAAGTATTTTTAAGCTTTTAAAGTATGTTCTGCAGCTTTCCTTTTGGTCAATTTTGCTCATGACTCTAACAGCCTTCTTTTGTAGAACGAAAATCCTGCTGATGTCCCTGGAAGCACCCCAGAAAATTATTCCATAAGACAGAAGACTATGAAAATTTGCATAGTACCATGTTAAAGCAGCTTTTGAGTTGCAATATTCATTAAGGTGCGTATACTATATATAGCTTTTGAAAGTTTGTTAATAAGTTTATTTATATGGTGGGACCAATTTAATCGACTATCGAGTTCTATACCCAAAAATTTAATAGATGTTATGGGGTTGCTAAAGCTGAATGTCAGTTTTTGTGTTTTATTAATGTTCATACTTAATTTATTGCTTACCATCCATTGGCTTGCTTCTGTAATGCAGTCGTTTGCCTTATTTTCTATCTCTTCTTCAGTTTGGCATTTGGCGAGAAAAGATGTATCATCTGCAAATTGGTAGCCTCCATATGTGTCCACATTTTGCAAAAGGTCGTTTACGTATACCGTGTATAATAATGGTCCAAGATCCTTGTGGTTGAATATGAGTAGTTCCAGAAGACGTGCTGGGTTCGACCTAACAAGTAGCTTGACATTAGATTTATTACAGTACCTCTAAATCCATATTGAGTAAGTTTATTAGTATCTGGTGGTAAACTGTGTCAAAAGCTTTTGATAAATGGCAGCACACCAACTGTACTACCTCTTTTTTTATCACAAGCTTCTATTATTTATTTATTGCTGATATTACAGACTTGTTTTTTCTAAAACCATGTTGTTCTGAATTGACGATTTTGTATTTATCCATGAAAGATATCATTCGCTCCTAAATTGCTTTTTCAAAAATCTTTGATAAAACTGGGTGAATTGCTATTGGGCGGTAATTATCACAGGAGTTTTTACATCCTTTTTTATGTACTGATATGACTTTCGCTATCTTAAGTTCTTCTGGGTAATAGCCATCTTGGCACAAGTTAATAAGAATAGTCAAAGGGAACGCAAGTTCTTGACTGACTTCTCTTATTACCTTTGATGACATTTCATAGATATCTCGGGTAAATTTTGGTTCTATTGTACATATAGTGTTAAATGTTTCATTTACTCTCTCAGTTCTGTAAGGTAGCATGAAATTTTATTTTTTTTCCACCTTGGATATGTGATTATCATGATTTGTAGTTTGTCTAGGAAGAGCATTTATAGTTTTTTGCCCTACTTCCGCAAAATATACGTTTAGAATTTCTGCTGTTAGCTTCATTAATAGCTTCTTTATTTGTAGTGGTTTCTTTTTTAATAATTTTCCAGGTAGCCTTTTGTTTATTGTTTGCCGAAGATATAATATTTTCATTATATTCTTTCTTTGTTTCTTTTAATTTATTATGATATATTTTTTTCAAATTGTAATAGGTGCTATAGTCTTCATTTGTTTTAGTTAAACTTGATATGGTTGCCAATGCATCTAAGGTGTTTTTTAAGTTTTTAAGTTCTTCATTGCCACCATGCTATGGTGTTTATGGTTATTTATGGTGTTTATGGTTATTTATGTTATGGTGTTTATGGTTATTTATGTTTTTATATTTTAGTGAAAAGGCATCTCGAAATTCTTTTAAAAGAAGATTATGGAATATTGTGTGTGCTTCTCGGGCATTTGTTATTTCTAGAAGAAACATAAAGTCTACTTTTTGAAGATTTTGCTTAAAAAGGTAAGTATTTTCTGGTGTTATATCTCTCGTTAAGATTTTTTTAACACTGTTACACACTGAGAATAATGGTCAGAAAGGTGTAAATTTACGGTTTTTTTGGAAGATATACAGAAGTTGGTAAATATATTATCAATGCAAGTCGCGCTTTGCTTTGTTACCCTGGAAGGTTCAAGTAGGTTTGGTTGTAGCCCATAGGAAGCCATAATTTGAATAAGTTCGCTTACTTCTTTTGAATTTGCTAAAAAGTTTAAATTGAAATCATCTGCAATAACAAATTTTTTGTTGGTGTTTGAGGCTGTAATTCTTGACAATATTGTGTTTAGTGTATTTGTAAATATACCTAATTCTCCCGTTTGCGATCGGTATACACAAATTAATATGGCGTTTTTCATTGTTAGTTCAATTCCTGTTATCTCAAAATGTTTTTCAATGCTAATTTTTTCTAATGACATATTTTTTGTTTTTATATTTTGTTTTGTTAGTATTAGGACACCACCATGTTTGTACATTTTCATTGCAAAATAACTAGCAACTTTATAATTTGTTAAGTTGTTTTTTCAGAAATGTTTCTTCAGCCCAATGTTCTGTAATACACGCCAATAATATATTTTTTCTACTCCTATTACGGAATTTGACCCTTCTAATATCACTTTTATCTATGGAATGACATATATTCCGTAAAGTGTTACAGAATTAAATATTCTATATCATCTGATGACAGAATAAACACTCGTGGCGACATCTCTGTTTTTAATTTCTAACAAATTTTAGACCGATCCAACCTCACTTTCTTCCAATTAAATTATTTTTCTATGGTATTTTTTGGAAACGTAGAAAAAGTATAGTCTAAAACACGTTTGGAATTACATATTCCGCTCGTGAGACAAACTCTTCACTCGAGCGGAATATGCTGAATTCCAAACTTGTTACAGAATATACTATTCTGTATTTAAGGATACAAATAGAATTTCTTGTTTATTTGTGATTGATTGTATGTTCTGATTTAAAATGTATATTAAAATATTTTGAATTGAGTTTCTGTGTTTGTTTATTTTATTTATTCTTGAAGATGCACTATTTAAATTCTGCTGCTGCTGGTTGGTTACGAAATAACCTGTATCTATTGATTAAAACACCTTTGGGTCAACTTTCGCTTAAGTATAGTTCCTTTAGAATTGAGATATCTGTCTCAATCTTGAAGGAAATACTTTTAGCACCCTCTCTTACTGGACAAGGTTCGATATTAAAGTTATTTCTTTTAAATGTGGTGACTACATAATTTTTTATATCATCTGGACTAGTATTTAAGTCTACTCGTCCCAAATGTATAACAGCTCTCTTAGAGGCACTTTTAAAAACATTTTCTTTCTCGTTGGATCCTACAACTTTTGCTTTTTTATTTATTGATTCTTGCGATTCTCCTTGATTTCCGCTATAATTAGTTGGCTGGTTTTGTTTTCCCTGATAAAATCAGATGTTCACGGGTGATGGCAGATGTTCGCGGATAAAAGCAGATGTTCGCGGGTGATTGCAGATGTTCGCGGATAAAAGCAGATGTTTAAGGGTAAATTTAACAAGACAGTCGTTTGCGGGTAAAAGTAGATGCTCGAGGATAAATCCAAAGGCTTAAATTTGGTAAAAATATATAAATAATAATAAATTGTCATGTTGAACAACCAGTAAAAATTTCAGGGTTCCAGCTTAAAAAAATTTGCGGGTGAAACCGTATGAAAGCAGACGTTCGCGTGTAAAAGCATATGTTTGCGGATAAAAGCGTATGTTTGCGGTTAAAACCGGATAAAATCAGACGTTTGCGGATAAAATCAGATGCT